TGGAACAAAATAAAAAATTAACACATACATCTAACAATTTTTTTTTATCCTACATGTGTAAATACATGTAAGGTTAAAAAAGTTCGATGCTTTCAGCTATTTTTGTATAGATTAATGTTTAAGAACCTGATAATAGCCTTTAAAAAAGTCCAGCAATGAGTTGCATAACTTTCCTGGCAAAAAAATATTTGTTTGAGAAAGACACATTAGCACAAAGTTGTAACATGGAGCCATATACAATTTTAAGATTTTATTTAAAAAATAATTTTTATACTATTAACTATTATAGAAAGGCAAAAGGCTTAACTTTGAGGGTAGAGATGAGTTTTTTACTAATAACAAGTAAAATCATCATTAAGTCTGATCCTACTGGAGATATACAGAACCCCCTTTATCTCCTTATCCCCTTGCCCTTTAATCACCAAAATTTAATGTCATCAATCCCCCTGATAAACAAACCTCCATGAAATTTTTGAGAAAGGGCACAGGAGCTATTAAGCTTTAAAGTGGGTAATGAAATTGTGCCCCCCAAATACATGTCCATACATACAGAAAAAAAATCCTGAATTTTTTTTTTCATTTCTTGACATTTGAAAGTCTTGAGTCCAAAAATGTAAAAATCTGGGAAGTAATCTTTTGCTGGATTGCCATCCTTTCCCTCTGTTATATATAACAGCCAGGAAAGTAAAAAATAAATAACAAATAAATACTTCAGAAACCTCAGAGAAAGTGAAGACATTGTTTAAACTCATCCATGGGTAGTATGTTAATAAACTGGTTTTTAAAATTATTGTATACTTTGTATATTTGATAATACTGGATTACAGATGATTTGTTAGGAACCCTTCTGCAAAATTTCAGACCGAACTCCAAAAGGTTTGTGGGTGTGTAGCAAAAGAGGAAATAATTTTATGAAAGTTGTTTTGAAAGCTAATGTGGCATTCAGAATAATACTGTTTTTGTATAACACATAGTGTATATATAAGTTGTGAGGATTACAAGATCTTTGCCACTTTTTCCATTGTTTTCTAAGAAGATTTCTAAGCTTTTTTTAGGTGATGCAAAAACCATTTGGGAAATGAGATTTCAGTTTTGCGAGTTTGAAAAAATTTATCAATAGAATTTTGTAAGATAAATCTGTGATTCTATTTAAAGGCAGATAGGAAAAGTCTAAAAATGACCACTATTGCACAAATGTGTTTGGCAGCTTCTTTCCAATTAAATTGCATCCATAGAGGTGTTTTGGTGAACTGTTTTGATTTGGGAATTTTTATGCAAGTGGAAACTTCCAAGCATATGCTGTATAGTCCGATGAGAATCCATTAATTGGATACATGTTCAAGTGACAATTGTAACTGTGAAAATCAGGTCAAGAAAGGAACTCTTCTAGGTATTTATAAAACTTTTTATAAAAATGGTTTGGAATTAAAGTCTTTCTTGGATATAAACAAGTTATTTTTAATAAATTTTTATTTGTGTTATTAATTCATTTATATTTAAAGAAGTTAAATAATAATTATATAGTTTCTATAGTGTTTCAATATTTTATAATTGAACTGGTGTATCTTTAGATTGGAATATTGCATTTTTGATAAATTCTTTCGAAAAGTACTATGTAATTTATTATGAAATTTATTATTAATTTATTTTATTGAACAAATTCTTTATTTATTTTTAAGAAAAAGTTTAAATCATTTATAGTTTCTACAAGTAAAATCCATATATTCATTGGATTTGTAGTCTAAATATATTATGGTTTATTAATTATTTAAGATAGTTGATAAACGTTTGCAAGAAATGTTAATTTAAAAAAAATTACATAAAATATTAAATTTTAAATAACAGAATTCAAAAATAATTTATTATGTAGATACATCATTAATGATTGAGTTCAAGTAGTTATATATATACATGTAAGAACAGCTATATAATCTAGAATTTCTAGAAGTTCAATAAATTTTATGAATATTCTGAGTGTATAAAACAATACAAATTTTTGAAAATTAACAAATTCTGGAATTATCACACATTTTTATTGCATTTAATAAGGAATTGAATTAGAAAGGCTGTGTTATTCTTTAGAAATTTATTTTAGATAAACAATTTAGATAATCATACTCTTCCATGTAAGATATTTTATTTAAATTTCTGAATTTTCAATTAAATGGAAGAAATGTGTTATGTGAATTAATTGTAGCTGTTACCAATATATGATGATAAGATCAATGTACCGTAGATAGATTTTACAGTAGAAGAATTACATTCTGTTAGCAAAGACATGTTACAGAGTTAGAACACATTAAATAAATAGAAATAAATGATTGCAGTACTTATAATGTTATTTAGGACTCTCTTATATCTGAATAACATCCAACTTGGAGTATTTGAATGGAATATTAGAAAATATTGCTGAGTAATGTAAGAATTATAGAAGTTCAAATTTAAAAAAGAACTTCCAACTGAAAAATAATCAAACAGCCAACCTTTTCCTTTCCAGCACTAATTTAAAAATTTGACAAATGTTTTTAAGCTGCTTTACAATTCTACTTAGTGCTGGAAAAGAAAAGGTTGATGTAGGATTCTGTTTGAAGTTCAGATTTTATTCTGATTTTTCTCTTGATTCTATTAAAATTAATTAATTTGCACTATTTAATTATTAACCACTCAGCAGTGAGTGACAAATATATTTGTCAAGGGCGATCGTGTGACAGTGGTGAGGGATGAATATATTCGTCAAATTCTTTCGAGGGGAATCGCCAAAAACTAGCCTAAAACTACTGCAAAAAAAAATTCACATGAAAAATGAATTATGTAATAAAAAAAGACTTTTCTTTACTAGACATAACTGTTTACAAAATCTTTTTTTTAAACAGTAATGAGAAATAACGCGTGAAAAAATACACTAAAAATTTCGCACATTTATCTTCCACTACTAAGGGGTACTATACATGACTATTCCACTGTTGAAAGGTTAATATTATCAATTTGTAGCAATGTATGTAAAATGATTTCATTAGGCTGCAATTTGAAAAAATTGTAGACCTATCAATTCCCACTGTCATCCATCTGTCTGCCCTTCCTTATTCTCGAGGATGGAGTTAGATGAAAGTGAAGACCAGATATGGAAATCTTAGTGGCAGGAGGTCCTGATTATATATATATGAACTTTCGGTCTAGACCGGAAGTCACGTGGTTTCAATTAAAAAATTTTTCCCTGCATGATTCTGTTGTTATCAGGAAAAGTATGATGACATTACTAATTTGAGATTGAGAGCATATATTTTAAATTAAATAAATTAAAAATATTATTAAAAATTGCAGTCTGGCATTGTGACACTTCATAATAATTTTTGCTCGTTTTTTAATAAATTTATTAACTTGAATTGAACAATGATAAATGTCAAAATAATTCAATAATTTTGATACTAAATACATATTTATGCATACACACACACAGTATATAATTTCAATAACTTTTAGAATTGCCAAACAATCTCTTATATAATTTGTTTGACATAATTTATAGAATGTGTTATAATCTCAAAAATTCATGTTACTCAAATGATGTATATACTTTGAAGAATTTTATTTGCTTAAACTAGCAGGAAAATTTCAAATATTTTGTTGCATTTAAATTTTTTGTTACCAACTTATATTCTGAATATATAAGATGAATGGAAAAATATTTCTTTACATTTTTATAAGGCATCTAAAAATAATGTCTGAATTGTCTCATTGATGTATGGCCAAAAGATGTGGTGCTATATTCTGGTCACTATATACTTTTAACACATTTTTGAAAGAGGAAATGCAGAACAGTAGGTGCTAAAGAAGAAATTTGACTACCGAAAGGTGGACTTGTATCACTGCAGCTTTACACGTATAATGTAAAATTATCAAGAAGATATTTTAAATTTAACTGAAACAAATTTAAAATTCTGTAATTTTGAAAAACTTTAATGACTTCTGAAATTGTCGGACATATAATTTTTAATGCATATTATATTTATTTAGACTTAATTAACTAATCATTTTTAATGTTTAAATAATTAAAACATTTAAAAATTATTGTTTTTACTCGAAACAATTATTCTTCAAATAATTGATCTAATAACTTTCGGTAAGTTCTAAGCATCAAGATTTTAAGAACTATTTCTTCCATCATTTATCATGCTATATTCAATTAACTTCAATTTATTATATACCGATAGACGGTTTATCCATTTTTCATTTTTTATGAAGCTAAATCATCTGTTTCAATCAAGAATTCCAATAGAAAAATTATAAGTATGAAAACTATTAATAAAATTATTTTTAAAAATGTACAGTTATTATTGTTTAAAAATTTATATGTGTAATCTAAAAAAGTGCAGTATTGTTAACATTTATGGCTCAAGGGATAGATATTTTTAACAACAGATCAAGCTAAGGCTACTTTCTTTAGTTACGAAGACACAACCCCAATTCTAGCATGGTTTCTTATTAAAGCCATGTAGTATATCTCTCACAGCTTAATAAACTATTTATCTCCTGTTGTGTATGTTTGCAAACAGGGAAAATGTAATAATGCAGTTATAGATATATTTTTAAAGAAATAATAGGATTTATTGTTTTCAAGACTGCAGAAATTGAATTTTTAAATACCAGTATTTATTTATTTATTTATTTTATTTTGCAAATAAGTTTGTTTGGCTGTTTAAATGTACAGATTTTCCTCAAAATTATAATTATATAATGACAAAAAAATAAAAATGTATGTATTTTAAAAAAGGAATTACTTTTATTTTAATGAGAATTACTCATTATTTTCAGAAAATTGTTGTAATAAAATTATATTTTAAATAGTATTACTTAAATCTTTACATTTTCATATAATTTTCTGTAATTTAATTTAAAAAAAATAACTTTTTTTTTTTAAACTGGTAATTAAATAAAATCGAGTTACATAGTTGAACTTTTATAATATAAAACTGCAATAACTTAAATAATGTTTATTCTGGAGTTAAATATTTTACAAATTGCAGCAGGAACATCTGTGCTTTGTTCTATAAAATTATCATCAATTCATATTTATTGACACCGCTAGTAAAAGAATGCATTCAGAATCAATCAACTTGTGCTGATTCATCAATAATACACCTCTGTACACAGTATGACCTTAGTTTAACTGGGTTTGTCTGACAGCAAAGATAACCAGAATTATTTTATTTGTAAGTGATTTTAAAACTATTATTTTACATTTATTATGTTACATACCTTAATAAAATTTTATATAAATTACATTTAAAGATTTATCACATTGAAGTTGTCTAGACTTGATCTATTGTGACTAATGTATATTTTTATAAAACAGATTTTGAACTCGAATAAACTCATGTATAGAGATAGAAAAGTTTCTTTGGTAAAGATTATTTCGATTGCTTGAAAACAGCTGTTCAATCTTTGTAATTTTTCCAATAAATTTTGAATCTAAAATCTATATCAAATTAATTATGAATTGATTGTGTTATATTGAACAAGTTTTTAAAATTTACCTTAAACTAGATTTGGATACTTTTAAAGTCAAATTAAAATTTCATGCATACAAAATTAAAATAATCATAATTGTCATATTAAGACTGTCTTCTTATTTTATTTAATTATAAAGGATGTCATGGTCACCACTAAGGTGTAAAGGAATTATATATATATATATATATATATGTGTGTGTGTGTGTATATATGGGTTTATTCCCAGGGTCATTGAGTGCTTGAGGCCTGGAAGTAGAATAAGCCTTTTGTTTTTGTACAAATGAAATACATATGCTATTTCTTTATTAATAAAAAGCAGTCTTAAAAGTTTTATTTCATATTAGTAAAAATAATGTTAATTTTATAAGGTTTTGAATCATTACAGACCTCTAAGTTTTCTCTGGGCCTGAGGAAAAATCCCCCCTTCTTTATGACTCTGTTTGTTTCTAAAGTTATTCAACAGTACTATAAAGGGTTAATATTAGTGTTGCTACCTTTTCAAAATCACTGACCCAAATGGCAGGTGAGGTTTGTTTGAACAGAAGTTTGAACACATGCACAATGTCATTTTGCGATGCGAAGAATAACATGCAATGCATGCCGGTTCTAAATCAGTTACAGTTAGGAACTATGGAGACTTACCATAGATGACTTAGCTCTATTGGATATTGGAGATGTGTACAAATACGAATCGTACGAGCAAAAAAAAAATCGTCAGGTTGCACACGATATTCCCGGACTCACTAGTTAATATAGTGAGTAGCATATTCTTGTCTTTATCCTCTAGATCAGGCATGGACAAAAATATTACTCATGAGCCACATTCTGATTATAAAGGCCAAAAACTACAGTAAATATAAAATAATTTTTTATGCATGCACATTTTTTTAATGTTTACAACCTAAACAATACATAAAATTGTATGTGACAATAAAAATAAAAATTAATGACATAATTTTTTTCTTTAAAAGTTTGTATATTTTTGATTTAGGCTTCACATTCTGATATACTTTATGAACTTAATAAATTTATCAACTGGCATGCACCAACTTAATTTTTATTGCAAGGGTAAATGTAAAAGAAAAATTAAGATAGTCAAAATGTTATCATCCTGATAATGTTTTATAACGTTTTTTGATTTGCAGGTACTGCCTGATTCTGAAATTTGTGTGTGAGATTACTCTTTATAGAAGAAAGAAGAGAAAAATGATGTTAATGAAATTATAAATAATAATCACTTTATCATTTCTTTAATATATATCTTCATAAAATTTAAATTACAAGGTTGAAAAATATCAGGATTTTGCACAGGCTGTTCATGAACTTTTTGTGTGTTGGATCCAGTCCAGAACTATAGTTTTCCTACTTTAGATACTTCTTATTGGACACAAACATAAATTTCCCAACATCTATTGACATGAATCTGTGTCATATCAAGTGATCTACCTCTACTCATTTTATTTATTTACTGTAATTTCCTGCAGATAACCTGCAAAAATTGCTAGAACACAGACTACTACTCTTTAAAATTGACTTTAACCCTCAGTTTTATCTGTTTTACATGCAGGAAATTATGATACTTAAATTATGCTATTATTGATTAATTCCTGAATCTATCAAAATAAAAAAGTTTTGTACTTTTTCTCCTATAAAAAAAGAAAAAATTCATAAGTAATAGATTTGTTAGAGAAGTTTTTCAAATCTAAAATCTAGCCCAAATTGCTTTTTCTGGAATGAATTTTTGAAGTTTTTACCTTGGAAAAACTAATTTTGTATATATGTATTTACACACACACACACACACTATATAAATTTATATATATATATATATATTCGGTATATATACATAAACATAATGTGAATGAATCTAAAATAATTTATTATAATTCAAAATCTGATAAGGAAAAATTTCATTAAATTTGTGAAGTAGAATAGTAGAAATTTTAATAATTTATGTAGTTCAAGGATATGTCTCTATATAGCTAGTTGTATATAATTATTTTATCATTCATAGATTGATAACAGAGAAGAAAATAAAATTAGTACTAAATACATTTACGAAGACAATATACTATCCACTAGGATATCTTGCTGGTCTAATTACTGCACCTCTACCAATGGGATTCTAGAAGAACACTAATATTTTTGACCCAGTTAATGGGTCATCCTGAGGTGTCAGAAAGTAAAGTGTTAGTGTCAGAAGGATAAAAGGATAGATTCAGATAAAGCAAACAAGCAGGAGAAATGGGTTATGATGGTGGCAGTTGATGTGACAGACTCAGAAGATATTGCCATGTAGGGGGAAGGGAGTCCTTGTCCCTGTTGTTTATGCACATGTTGATAATAGACTGGCTATAAATTTTATACCTTTCCTCAAAGCTGTCATGGCAAGGGTGAGGGATAGTTTGAATGATTTTGGTCATCTGCCAGTCTGTCTCTGTGCTGGGAAGTTGTGCATGTAATTCCCCCTTTAAATGTAATCTTTATGTTCAATGAGCCTCTGATTGAGAGATCTAGACGTGTAATTGACATATGCTGTTCTGCCGGTCTCTTCATTTATGGTCAGGATGATACAGTATTCACTCCACTGCTACACTTCATTTTTGATTTGCAATGCCTGAGAATAATCTGTTAACTGGGTGAAAATATTAGCATTCTTCTAAAATCCCACTGGTAAAAGGTGCAGTAATTAGTCATGTCAATATATTTATTAGTATTCTAGGTTATAATAATAATGTATTCATTTAATATTTTACTTTTAGTAATTGATATTATTATAAGATACCTATTATAAAGTGTGCTTATATTTAAATTAATTCTTTAAAATTTAATTAATAATTTCATCATCTATATATATATATAGATGATGAAGTATATATACAGTAGACCCCCCTATAACGCTTAGATACGTTCCACGCTAAGCGAATGTTACGTTATATGAATGATTAAATACATGAGCCAATCGCAGCCCGATAGGTGGGAACTTTACGGACTAAGGCTGTTCGAAAGGTTTTCTTATATAAAATTAACCGATTCTAGACTAATTCCACTCAACATTTCCAAAACACGTATAATTTTTTGGGAGTAATCCGTACAAACTATGCTATAAACAAAAAATTATAGGATTACTTAC